CACGGCTGCTAAGCTGCTCTAGCGCGACGCGCTGCTCGCCGCTCGCGCGTAGCCATGCCGCTTCCAGTAAACAGCTCTCCAAGTGCTTAGCAGCCGTGATTGCTGGGCGGTCCTGTCTCGCTACGTGCTCATATTCGGTGATTTTTAATAATTAATATCTCGTTAACCTTTGCGAAAATTGCAAAGTGGTGGAGGACTTTTTAGCTTAGTTTGGTCTGCTCTACCGGCACACGAGCGCTTTGTCAAAAAAAAACGAACACTCTGTATATATGTATATATATAATGTAATAGTTATGTAGCGAAAAAAATGTTACGATTTCTTGATAGATGCCTAAACAACCCAGCCTATTTCTAATATAAAACGCTCCTGAGCCAGAGCTATCGGCAGCTCGGTCGCCAGCGGCCGGGCGGTAGTGGGGAAACAGAAGGCGTCGTCTCGGGAATCGGCCCGAAATGTGCAATTAATTCCGAGCTCTGAAATATAAGATAAGTTTACATTACAAGGAAAACACACTAGTACTAATCTCATGTGATTGGTGTATTTCTACCAATTTGCCAATATTGCCAATATAATGAAAATTTTATTGTATTTTAACATCTCATGGTTAACAATAGATATTCTTGTACTTCAAATACTTCTAATTTTAAAATGATTTATATACTGTTGTACTGACTTTCTCGCAACTATAAATATATTTTATTATTTTTGTAATTTATAGTTTTATTTGGCATAATAAAAAATTGAAAATAAGTTTTAAGAAGCTTATAACAAAATAGCTCTTATAAAATATGTAATAAAAAAATCTTTTTAAATTTCCTATTAATCCTATTAAATCTCTAGTTTTTTTCTTTATTTACACAACTTCGAATATTAGAAAAGTAAAGACCTTATCCAATAATTTTGTAAAATTTGAATTTGATTAAGTAAATTTATGAATTTCTAATGTTATGATGTTATGAAATAATTTTTATTTAATTTTAAAATCAACGAAACCTTAGCACTAAATTATTCCAAACTCTGTTTAACTTGTTTGAATGTCTATGCTATTGATGATAAATCACTGGCATTAGTGATTCAATTTTTACAATTTATGACAAAGATTATTTTTAATAGAAATCCTTTAAATTTTTGTGAACTTGCATTACCTTTTTTGAGTAGATGTTCTGCAAAGAAAATGCCATAGTGGATGCTAACGCGCTAATCAGACCGATCATATTGAAGCTAAGTTCTGTCAACGTGGCAATTGCTACGCCACCAACTATCGGCACAAGACTCAAGTAGATCTTCCATGTTTGCTGCTCCCGCAGTATTATTCTTGACAGAGCTACCGTGAACAACGGCATTGTAGCCTTCACTGGGACAGAGCCAAATTTTAATTAATATAAAAGACTAAAACAAAAACGGAAAAATAATGCTTATGAATGATCAGGAATGCTTTAGCACATAAAATTGCAAATAGACTCGTTTATATAATAGAATTAAAATTTTCCTTCTTTATATTTTTATTAAATTTAAGAAGTGTTGAAACTGTTGTTGATTGATCTCACATTGATCTCAGTGTGCTCATGCATGCTAGAATTATTTTTCTATTAGTTATGCTAAACGGTGCGCCAGTCATTGTTCACAATGTTATGTGCTTTTTAATGAATCAATTCATAAATAAGTTCCATTTTATTTAAAACGATATTTTAAATAATGATACAGAGTGAGTTGCAATGTAACTAGCATCTCTACTATATATAATATCTACTTATATAATTTTCTTGCTGTGTAACATGGATTTTATGTCTGTTAACCTGGCACACACTAAAAATCGTATTCGCATATATGACCAAATTAAGTGTTAATTAGTTGCTAATTTATTCCTCATTTCAGAATTTATTACACCAACCAATTCGCAGGAAATTAATATTAAAAGTGGGAGTGCTGGCACTTAATGTTAATCTGAAAAAACATGTTTGAAGAAAAACAAATAAAAAAACAAATGCATCAGAATTTTGCCATATTTTTGCTCTAACATTGTGCAAAGAGATTGCTAGAAAATTGAATTTAAGTTAAAAAATACAAATGATTGATGCGGCGCTGAATATATCTCAAATTCTTAAAATGCTGTATCTTGAACCCTTTAATGTACAAACAAAAATTAAAGAGGTACAAATGAGTACAAACGATACTCTTTCGAATACCGTTGGCCGTTTTAAAATATCTTAAAAATTGACAGAGTTACTCTCTTGGTTGGTTATCAAAAATTAAAAAAGGTTATATTTTCGAATCCTTTGAGATACAAATAAAAATTAAAGTGATACAAACAGAGGTGTGTAAAGTTAGTACTCCAACATAAAAATTTCAGTTCTGATTAGAGTTTTAGCTTTTTTTGAAGAGTTCTAGAGTTCCCTTTTATTTATATAAAAAGTTCCAGTGATTCCGGACACCTCAATAGAGTTGAAAAATGGGGTAATTAACGTCACACCCGATTTCAAGATCGAATAATTCTGATTAACTTAAATATTTTTTTTAAAACACTCTAAAGTTTCCCATAAGTAAAAAATATTTTTAATATTAGATTAAAAAAATAAAATATATAATATATTACAATTTTTTAAAGACTGATTCATTCTGACGATTAATTACAATGTATCTATGCATACTTAGGAGTACTGTATAATTTTTTTAAATATTTGTCCAGAAAAAGTTGAAAAACATATCTTTAAAGTAAATGCAATAACATAAAATTTTCTAAAAATTAAAAATTATTTATAAAAGTACTCGATAGTTCTGATTGGCATTTTAGAAAGTTAAATAATTTAATAGCAACCGTGGCTCTTTTATTATCCAATAATTTGAAGGAATAACTAAAGCTACAAGAGCTAGAGCCATTTAACCTTGCTTAATTTTTATTTTATAAACGTATTGTTTACAACATCACAAATGTTTCGGCTAGTCGGATTGTGGCCATCTTCAATATGCTAATGTACAATTTAAAGTATGCCTAATTATGATCTATATATTTATATATTTTATCGCATCTATATATTTTCAACACAATTTCACAGTTCGTAAATCCGTTTAGATCGATTATGTTACATACGCTTTTTCGAATCGTGATGTGAGGATCCATGCTATTTCATTCAAATAAAATAGCTTTATTCAGTTAATTAAAAATATCTCTCAAGTCATTCCGTCGAATTAGTTGATTAGGATATAATTTTATATTTAAATCATAATCGCGTCGAACTCAATGCAAAATCTGATGTGCTTGTTAATAATATCATCCTGATAAAACTGTCGTTTGAAATATACTATTTTAGTAAGTATATTGAGAGTATGAAGATAATTCCAATGAAAAAAAGCGATCCAATCAATAATTAATAAAAATTTTTAAAATATTAAAAATTTTTTAAATATTTAAAATTTAGTTTAGTGAATCTTCGAGGTTCAATATCTTATTAATTATTTTCGGATTACATTTTTTAGAATTACCTCAATATATTTTCTAAGAACTACCGAGTACTTTTAAAAATAATTTTTGATTCTTATGTTAAAAGATTTTGTGTTATTACATCTTCTCTTTAAAAGTACGTTTTTCAAAATACAAATAATATTCAGTTATTGTTCTTCACTTATTAAAATAATAATCGTGTTAAAATCAAGCCAATAGAGGAGGAGCCGGATCAAGTTGCTCAAAAGTTCATTTATTAAAAATTGTTACATACGTTTCGGCCAAAGGATGTGGCCATCTTCAGTGTAAAATTGACAACAAAAAATGTCATAAGTAGAGAAGCGTTGAAAAGAACAATTAATATACAAACGCTCTCCAAACGTGGTTATGATTTAGAAAACGCATCCTGTTAATGTAACGAAAATACGAATTAGGAGCATTCTCAAAGTCCAAAAAATTTTTTGAAGAAATTATGTGTATAAATACCTCTGATACTATGGTTCGTACATTTTTTTGTAGTTAGTCTTATTATATATGTGTGAAGCCACGGACCATCTAACTTGCAATTAGAGAGAAACAAACCAGATTTTTAAAAATTAGTCAAAATAAATACAATTTTGGCGAATAAAAATAAAAAATAAAAGTAAAAATAAGATAAAAAACATAAAAAAATAATAAATTAATTTAAAAAAAAATTTTTTTATACCTTGAACGGTCCGTCAAAATTGTGTAAAGAGAATAGATGTTAAGAATAGATATTTACAATAATTTTAAACATATTTCGGATTTGTTACCGATGAATCTAACTTGCGAATTTTTCACTGGTCAGGAGAGACGAGTGTCGAGATTATTGTACTAGAGAATTAGGGATCATGATCGAAAAATCGATTGGCTTATTGCACTGCAGAACAAGGAAAAGAAATCTAGAATTAAATCTATTAACTATTCCTTTCACAAGAGTATAATTGATGATCCTGTCGATAAAGTATGGTTTTTGGAAAAATCGGATAATAATAACAACAAAAATATTACCATAAACATCACACCTGATAGATTTGAATTCACTAATGAGTTTGAAAAAATACACGATAATTGGTTTCTTAATATCTCTAACTTTACTATTCCAAATGAAGTAACTCTTCTATTACAATTGGGTGATAGATTAAATTTGCCTACAACTAACGAAAAACAGATTTCATTTGAATTCATCAAAAATATAGAAAGAAATATAGAAAGATACGATAAAGAGACTCAGTGTTCTGTAAGGAATAAAGCTACGTCGATTATCGATGATCTTATGATATCTTGTAATAACAACGACTTTCTGGTGGGGTCGTGGCTCAAAGTAACAAAGAAATTTATTAATGATAATCCGGATGTTATCTTCACAAGAGCTGATAAGGGAAATGTCACGGTTGCGTTAAATAAAAACGATTACATAAATAAAATGGAAGATATTCTTTCCGACACAGACACTTGTCACATAGTTGAGAGGGACCCAACCAGAAGTTAACTGAAAACGTGCGGACTCTACTTTTAAGATGGAAAGGAAGGGGCTATATTGACAAACACACATATTTTCATTTACTAAAAACAGACGGGATTTTACCGAGAGCTTATGGTTTACCAAAGATCCACAAAACTGGTTTTCCACTCAGACTAATAGTTTCTTCTATTAACAGCCCTTTTTACAATTTAGCCAAATACATGCATGAATTACTTTACAATAGTTTAAACAAACCTAACAGTTATATAAAAAACAGTTTTAGTTTAGTCAAAAAACTAAATGGAAAACACATCAATCCAGATACTTGCATCGCTTCGTTAGATGTGGTACCTTTATTCACTAACGTACCTGTTGAAAATACAGCTAATAGCATAAAAAAACGGTGGAGTCAGATAATGGGTCATACATCCATATCACTCAATGAATTGGTTATGGGTATCACTCTGGTCTTAAATTCCACGTTTTTTAAGTTTAACAATAAGATGTACAAACAGGTTTTTGGTACACCAATGGGCTCTCCGTTATCCTCCATCATAGCGGACATTATTCTGCAAGACCTATAATGTTTAGCCATGGAACGTTTACCGTGCACACCGTCTTTTTATTATATGTAGATATGTTGACGACATCCTTATTGCAGTCCCAAATAATCTACAATACTAAATGAAACTATTACTACCTTTAATTCCATACATCCAAGATTGCAATTCACACTGGAAGTGAGTAATAAAAATCGGATAAATTTTCTGAATGTTTTAATTATAAATGACAACTTGAAGATTATTTTTGACATTTTTCACAAACCTACATACTCGGGAAAATATTTAAATTTCCATTCACACCATCCTTTAACGCACAAAAAAGGCGTTATTTTTGGCATGATTGATAGGGTCCTATGGTTATCTCATCCACAATTTCAACAGAAGAATTTGGAAAACATAATAACAATTTTGTTAAACAATAGTTATCCTTTAAATTTCATTTTCTCAACTATTAAAAATAGAATTAAATTTCATATACACAAGAATTTTAACAAAAATGACAACAAGAACAACGGTAATAATAATAACAAAAGAAATATTTTTACGATTCCATATGTGAAAAATTTATCCGAACAATTTGTTCAAATTTCAAAAAAGAACGATTGCATGTTGGCCTGTTCATGCAACAATAAATTAAACAAATTTATAAAACCGGAAAAGATTCTTTGGATATGATGAACCAGTGTGAAATTGTCTATAAGATCTCATGTAAAGACTGTGACGCTACGTACGTAGGACAGACCAAAAGACAATTACGGACTAAAATAAAAGAACACAACAGATATCAATAAAAAATCAGGCTTTTCCTCGGTAATTTCTTGCCACAGAATGGAATTCAATCACGACTTCAAATGGGACAAAATCGA